GGGATGAAATTCCTTCGAACACATCGGCTACTCACAGCAATGAGCCAAAGGCACAACCATGGAAATTGATGTGACTACCGTTGTGATTTTTACCTTTAAGTCCATATTGAAAGCCTTGGAGGCACAATCTCCTCTTCTGGTTGGGTAAACCCAAAATCCACGATACTTGGAATGCACCTGCAGGTAGGCCAGGTGCCCGTGTAGATCTGACAAGCTACATGCTGATGCTGCTGTGTTTGTGAGTGGGCGCTAAGAAATTTCACCATCAGTTGATCGACTGCTACCGCCGTCGTCCCTTAGCTGATTAGTTTCAAGTGTGCAATATAATTGAGTCTATTTTGACATCGCCCCATGCACTTTCCTTAAGGCTACTCGCCTAGATTTGAGCATACCTTCATAGACGAAGACCAGATGAAATGGTGCAAACGCATCTCAACTGAATTCTCTGGATCTGAAACATATAGTTTGGTGTACCCTTGACTTAATTCATGATCTAAGACCTGAACACCAAGGAATCTGCCAGCTGAGTGATCGGAGGGATCTTGCTCGGAGCATTGCCAAAAAGGCTCCATATAGATTGGTAGCCATGCGTTCCCATATGAAACGGTTGAATGAAATCAACCGGAGACGCGCTTGCAGATAACCCTGCAGACAAAAGGCAGGCGCACTTGATGATCATGTCAGCAGCCACTGGCTGCTGCTGGCTGCCGTCTTGCTGGGGCTGTTGGTGGAAGGGATGGAGTGAAAGGTTGTTGTTAAGTAAAGACTTGTCTTTATGTAAACGACATCGTTAAACTTTGGTGTTGGACTGAGTGGGATTGTTTTTTCTTCAAGTTAATTGATGACTAATTCACCCGTGAACAACATGTAGCAACAGCGCACTCTCATCATGCCTGGTTCATTCTTCGGCAAGAGTAGGACTTGCTGATGTTTAGGATAGGACCATGATTGTCATCTCATCCAGCTAGCACATTCAATCACATGTTGTCTTTAAGCCTTTGGCCGAAGAAAACTCTGCCAGGAAGAGATGACCCAGCTTCGCAAGAGGAACATCCAGTTGTTCAGTCGTTGCTCCTGTCATTTGGATTTCACGCTTTCCATTCTGATGCTTTACCAATTCTGGGCTAGCCCTGGGCTGGACTCTGCAACCTGGGCGACTTGTTGCATGGTGGGCTACGCCGTCTCGCTCTTCACAGCTTTAACACTGGATTATATAGTGCTGACTCCGCCGCCCGGAGGAACTGTTGCTATTTTGGAGGTAAACAGTTTGATAGTAAACACTCTAAGGGTCCACAGCGCTTAAAGACACTTCGCATTTACTGGATGTGGGACATGAGAGTCAAGCATGTGAACACATTAGATATAGATGTGGTTGATAGGTTGATAACTTCAGTTGAGGCATCTCCTGGAAGTGATACTCTCCCGTTTTATTTTTGTTTATGTATCCCCCTAAAGGCTTTTTGTCTTTATGTTTGGTTCAGTTAGTTGACCCGGAAGATCAGATCCATAAGCAGGACACGTTAGCGATTCAAAGTTGTTTTGCAAACATGTGATTTGGACAGGTTACTGTAGCTGCGTAGAGGTGTTTGGCTTGCAATGTGATCCTGGGAATCTAGACTAAAATCATTATGAAAAAAAAACCTAAGATAGCCCGGGACTAAAATTGGCATCTCTTCTGTCATGGGACAGGTTAGCAGATGCATGTTGGGTCGTTTTTTGTTAAGCATTGTGAAACTCCGATTATTCCCCTGGAAATACCGCACCAGAGCTGAACATGTTAGGGACTAGCCCCAAATGCACCCTGGGACATGTATATCTGGAAGAGTGTAGTCCTTTTTTTGCCAGCACTCAGGTGACTTCAATCTTCTCAAAGACTTTCAAGATTCGGACACAGGATTTGTGCGTCAACCACTCCTATAGTCAAGTTCTTATAAAGTTCCTTGGGTAGGAAGGTCTACTGCAAACATGTTCATTCAAGTTCGCCCGGACGAGCAAACAAAAATCCAACTGAACAAAATGTGTGGCTTGGAGAGTGTTTTCTTATTACTTTTTTCTGGACACATTTGCTGCAAAAGAGGACATTCCCATCTTGTAAGTCAAGCCTTTGAATCTTCCACGACTGTGCTACCTCAACCGAAACATCTCTCATCATAACCCTATTTGCATGGTGTGGAACCCACCCCGGTTTTCACCAAAGCCACCCGTTTTGCGGTTTGGGGTGGTCAGACGTGCCAGTTCAATGTCAGGCGGCTCACATACTTTTGCCATCTACTTGCACTTGCAGCCTTTGTCTCTACGGCTTACTCCGGTGCCAAGCAGCGATCAACGACGCAAGGCTTTCACTCTGCAGTACGCTTCTGCCTGGTGCTGGCATTCTTGGATCCCAAGATCACCATCCCTTTCCAAGTGCTTTACAGCCTCGTCGAGGTGCTTCTACATGTTTGTGTGATGGAGGAGGGCGATTTCTGGGTGCAATTGGGATCCTTTAGCTCGGGGCAAGTCCATATTTTGGTGGCAACCATTGCTTCCTCTATGTTCATCGATATGGGTCTTCGCGGGCTTATCTATGCACGGCTGGACACGGCAGATGCCGAGTCCTTGCTTTCGAGCTTCCGACGGGTCTTGAGAGGTGGGCTCACCCTGGAAGGAAACAAACATCAGAGCAAATGGATGCAAATGGACCATGTCGCAGGAATACGTGGTACGGTTACACTGTTTTTGCTGGCAAAGAAGAGTTTACATGAAACAGAATCCATCAAAATCCAATGTTAATGTTTGTTGTTGTTCTGTTTATCAGTCTTATCAATCATAATCCACATGTTCCCGGAGCCCACCACAAGCGACATTGTTTGAGACTTTCAGACAGGTGAAACATGGTGAAACCAAAAACCGCCCTGCACATGCGTTTGGTCTTACAATATACTCCATTCCCCTTGGACACAAACCTGGAAATACTGGGGGTGTTTCTGTGTTTCCCTCAGTGTCACGATAGATTCAGGTGTGTGTGACGGCGATGTGCTCTTGGACAGCCAGATGAATGTGGCCCAGGAAAGCCAATGCTTGAGACATCTCATACTCACGGATGTGAGTCTCAAAGGCAAGTCCTTCGAACACCTGCTGGTCGATGACGAGCAGCGCACTCGCTTTCGTGAGTTTGTTGAGGCTTCAAACGATGCTAGGTCGCACTGAACAGAACAATTTGGTTTGATGTCCTGGGCGACGCCGGCGACGCTTCTCAGGGTCATCAATCCCAAGATGTCATGAAGATTCATGAAGTAGGTCCTTGCTTGAGATACTCGATGAACCAATCGCAGGACACATTCCAGGTGCCACACGCCGGTTTCAGTGCACCTCCGGTGTGCTTGCGGGTGTCCTTGCGTAGCTCTGCAGGCATACGAGTGGCCACGGATATGTACCATGTGCCTGTTCCAGGCATCGGGGGTCGTCAAATGAGTCGTAAACAAACACATGTCACATGTTTGCAGTAGTATCATATATGATAAAACAAACATGAACTCAATATCTTTAGAGGGATGATAACATTTGTTTGGAAGCGTCATGGAATGTAGGTCGACATCCTGTTCGGTTGACATCCGGATCCCTGTTTCATCCTTGGAACATCTTGGAACTTGAAATTCAGGGTCTTGAAATTCAGATCTCACCCCAGAGTCGCAGGCCTTTTTGGCACCAATGACCCTTACCATCTTATCGCATTCAAAGAAGATCCCGAGTCCCGGCCGCAACCGGAAGCTGGGAAAGATGCTGTGCCATCAGTGCTTTTGCCTACTTTGAACGAAGGCCAGAGCCACGCACGATCCCTGCATGCAGACTCCAGGTCAATGCTGTCTGGAAGCACTGGAAAAAGTTATCAGCTTCCTTATTGTGCTGAATTGAAGGAGATGACCTTGCTCGTAGATGTTGACTCGGAGCTCCAGGATGTCACCGAAGCACATGTGAGGTTTCAGCGTGATGAGCCGCCCAGCGACCTTCCTGCTGCCTTGCAATCAACCATGCCCAGCTTGCGCAAGCTGGTGAAACCCACTGACTGGGAGAAGGTGCGGTCAAAAGCCATGAGGTTTACAGAGACTCACCGGCAACTGCCAGGGCCCCCGGAGCCAGGGGTGGTTAATGAGATGTCCCCCTTAGCCTCAGCCGGTATAACGTTAAACATCTCTTTTGGATTCTTTTGGGGGGCCCTGGTAGAGAGCTTTCGATCCACCGTTTTAACTTGCATGGTCAATTCACGTGTTAAGACGGAGTCCAACAAGTCGTCCATTCCATTACATGTGTCATTTATCATTGTTTATCCCGCGTCTTACTCTTTAATCGTATACACCGATAAGGAGTCCAACAGGTCTATGATTTTCCACTTCCAGTCCCGTTCATGTGAGGAAAGGAGTCTCCTTGATCCAACCATTCAGTCCCGAGTACTGAAACAGATGACTTTGCGATTGCCTGGGCATTCCGGTTGGCTGGTTGCAGAGCAAGCCGCCTTCAAGCGCTTCTCGAATGAGAATGTCCAGGGAAAGAAGGTCTGGCTGCATATGATGGGCTTTCGCCCGGAGAGGCTTCTGCGGCCGGGACCTCTCTCGAGCGACGCGGGCGGCTTGCGTTTTCGAGCTAGACCGAGTTCCGTGCAGTGAGGTGGAGTAGAGAGTTTCACCCCACCAGAGTTTGAATGTCTCTTGCTTTTTGTGAGTCTTCGGTTCGTTTTGCCGATGAATCAATTGATGTTGAATCGAATCTATTCCCGAGAAATGACACAAAGTGTCTCACTGCATGGTGGTGCGCGCCCTCCAACAGAGGGTTTGAGAGGGTTTTTAGGCCCCATGCTGACATGCGTCGAAGAAAGGAACAATCTCCAAACACATGTTGCCATCCATACACCGCTGCAAGTGATCTGCGGTGCGAAACATGTGCATCCCCGAAAACGCGCGCACAGTTCGCAAATGACAGATCTCACAGATTCGCCCATCGAAGCCTTGTTCCGACCACCGCAGGTTGCGAGGATCCGCCGATGAAGTTCGCCCAGCCGGAGGCCTCCCGGGGCGACTTCGACCCCAGCGAGGCGCACGAACCCGTGCGCCGTGGGGAGTGAGGGGTCCCCGTGCGCCGAGGTGAGGGGTTGATCGAACGGACAAGAGGCGACTCGTAGGGACGGAGGGAGTGAATTTTCTACAAGAGATGCCCAAAATTGGTATAGTTCTTATAGTATCTCATAGGATATCTTAGGATCCGTTCTCTTATTCAACCTTATTCCTTGATGAGCACGAGCTTGCGAATGGGGATGGAACCTGGGGAAGAATTCGCCCCATCACCTTTCACAGCTTGAATCATTGGAACTGGTCGGGTTTTTTAGAGTTTCACTGATCTGAAGGAGTTTTCATGTCCGGCCAGTTTGATTGGGGTCGTTTTCCATGGTGCCTAGTGGAGGTGGGACTTTTCAGTTGGGTGGTCCTGCTAAATTTGGTGGTATTCAGGCAATTGTTCAGCAAAACAAGTTGACAACATGTTGCAACAACTCTCACCTTGTCAGGGTAAATTGATCATTTGTTTCATGTTTCCTCCATTTGATCTGACGTTGCGCCGATCCTCTCGAGCCGCAGTGATCATCCCCTTTTGCATCGTGCACGCATGGCGGAAAAGACGGGCATCTTCGTTTCTTCTTAGGCACCTTCGTTTTCGACAGTGGTAACCGGAGCATTGGCTATGCCGAATCCAGGAGAAGCCTTAGGAGATCCGGACAGACGTGAAGCTGACCTTGACGACGATGAGGGGACGAGCACCGCGGCTGAGGTCAAAGGCAGAAGAGAGTGGACGGAAGAAGAGTGGAGAGAGTGGGATGAGCGATGGTGGCACGCTGGGCAGAGCGGTTGGTATGGCTCTCCATGGCGTGTCGAGCACGTGAAGGATGATGCAGGGGCAGCATCCACAGCACCTCCTCAGTCGAAGACGGACCCTCCAGATCCGTGGCAGCAGAGATCGTATGACCCATGGTCCAGGCGGACATCCGTGGCTACTGGACAAGCTGATCAGCACTTCCAAGGAGCGTGGTCGACCTGGTGGGCAGGGGGCTATCAGTCCAAGGGGGACTATAGCGATCCTCCATCCTGGTCAGGTTGGAACAACTATAGGTTGTGGCGAAGGGCACTCCTTCGATGGAATGCAAACACCGACGTAGCCATCTGGAGGAGAGCTGAGAAGGTTCTCAAGACCTTGGACTGGGATCTTCAGGCCAAGCTAGATCATCTTACCGAGACCACTTTGTCCAGTCCGTCCTACCTCACCGAGATCCTCAGTGTTTTGGACATCCTCTCTGGGGAGAAAGAAGACTCTGACCGTCGGAGAGCGGTCCGAGCTGCCTTGTTTGAAGGCGCTAGGAAGCCAGACGAAGGACTGGCTCAGTACGCCTTGAGGAGAGAGTCCCAGTTTGAGCTCGCGAATCGGTATGTCAGCCTTCCGGAGGACATCAAGGGCATCCTTCTTGAAGAGCAGTCTGGCCTTCCCAGACAAGCGATGCAGAATCTTCGAGTCTTGACCAAGGGTCAGCACTCTTACTCTGAAGTGAAGAAGGCCTTGCAGATATTGGACTTGGATGAGGAGAGCATGATCAAGAGTGGCAAGACAAGCTACTTCGGTGGAGCTTCCGAGGTGGAGCATTCCGAGTCCGACATTGATGATGAGGAGATCTTCCTGGCTTTAGAGGCGCAGGAGGTCGACGAAGAGGAAGCTTTGTGCCTCATGGCCGACCTTCAGCAGGACCGAAAGAGAACCTGGAGGGAGAACAAGCTCTTGAAAGCCGCCAGGAAGAAGGACCGTCGACACTTTGACGATCGGAGCTCCAGGCCGAGCCGGCCATTCAACAGGAGAAAGATGTCCATCGAGGAGATCAAGAAAGTGACCTTCTGCAACAACTGCGGCAAGAAAGGTCACTGGCGAGAAGATTGTCCGGAACCACCCAAAGAGGGAACTCGCAAGAGTGTCGATAGATCAGTCAAGATGAACGCTTTTGCCTATCTTGGAGTGGCAGAAGGCTCAGCGAGCTCACCAGCGTTCTTGGTCGGAGACTATCTGAACTTCCAATCCGCGAACAGCGGTTGCTTTTTGGAAGTGGCAGCAGGTCATGCCATCGTGGACCCTGGAGCTTCGCAAGACCTCATTGGACTGCGAAGCTACGAGAAGCTTGAGAAGAGGCTGTATGAAGTTGGTCTGAGAACCATCAAGCTTGAGGAGTCCCCATCCAAGGCTTCCGGGGTCGGAGGAGACGCAAAGTCTCTCTTCATGGCCCTCTCACCTTGTGTTCTTGGCGGACAACCAGGTGTGATCAAGCTGACCGTAGTGGCCGATGACATCCCACAACTTTTGTCCATAGGACTGTTGGAATATGGGAAGGCCATCATCGACACCGGGAACAATCGCATTCGCTTTCAGGCTTTTGACACGGAGACCACCATGAAGCGCCTACCTTCGGGCCACCGCCTCGTAGACATTGCCGACTGGGACGGCAGTGATTTTCCAATCCCAGCCAAGTTGTCAGAGGAACTAGGACTTCCTCCTCGGGCCTTTAATGTGCCCTCGTCAGAGCGTCGAGCATACATGGCGGCGAGCCCTGAGTCGGTCGAACTGTTTCACTTTCTTGTTTTTGTAGGAGTGAGCATGAGTCAACTGAGTTTTGAATCGAGTGCGGCCATCTGTGATCCGTTGCTTGGGAATTTTTTCACGTTTCGAGAGTTCACTCAACAAGACACACAATTTCTCTTTCGCACGTCCTGGCTGGTGCATTGCAACACGTGCTGTTTGCTTGAGCTAAACGCGAAACGTGAGAGACCAAACGATGCTGAGTTTCAAAGAGATGTCTCGGAAGTCACTGACTGTCCTTTAGATTTCACTGAACGACACTGGTCCACTGCTAGGGTCATGTCACTTTTTTCCCAGCAGAGAGTGAGACTTGAGACCTCTCCTGAGCACGTGTTCACACTGCACCAAACCGATCGTCCCTCTGACGCCTCAAGAGACAGCGTGAGCGCGCTTCGCGATCAGCACCATAGAGCCCAATCTGAGAAAGTCTTGCATCATGGCGTCTGCGGGACTGATGACATCACGAGCAAAGAAGTGTTCGCTCCGAGGCCGATCGAGAGACTCTGGAAGAAAGATGTTGATTCTCTCTCGAGGACCAGGCTCCCTGGAAGCTCTCAACATGAGGGAGCTGCCCCTCGATGCGACGACGTCCAGGCCAGGACCAGCTGGCATGGGACCATACGAGACAGAGGACACCAGGAAGATTCCACGACCTTCAGAGTGCTCCCATCCCAAGGCCTACGAGGTCAAGGGTGCGAATCAACACGGAACTTGGACCAGATGCTCGATGTGTCAGACCAAGTTGACCTTTGTCCGCTACAGCAAGGACAATCCTCCTCCGGCTGCCCGCATGACCAAGTCAGCGACGGTGGAGACCTATGTGAGCAAGCCGGCACCTCGCACGCCGGGCGCTTCGAGCGGCTATCTACCTCCACCCATGATGACTTCGGAGACCTCACCGCCGCCAGATCTCATGCCGGACATCCAACGAGCGCTTCAGGGCCAGACACAGCAGCTGGCTCAGAGCACTGCTGCCGTGATGTCTCAAGTCATGTCTCCTGTCATCGAGGGATTTCACCAGGCTCTACGCTGTCAGGTGGAGGAACAGCAGAGAGCACAAGAGCGACAGGACGCCCAGATGCAGCAGCTGTTCTTGGCACAGCAACGCATCATGCAACAGAACGACATGACGAGGCAGCAGGGCGCCTGTTTCCCAGCTCTTTCCCCAGAAGAGATCCAGCGGCTGCTTGCGCAGGGCTTTGCCGACACGAGGCGCTACATGCAGCAGCAGGGGATCAACGAGGACGAGGACTGGGATGCCATTCCGGAGAGTCCTCCGGGTCAGAACTGAGGGATTGGGCAGCTCAGAGTTTCACCAGTCAGAATTCCACGTCAGACAGTAAGTGTATAGATTCCCACAGGAGCACGTGGTTGACTGTTCCTTTTTCTCAAGCATCTAGGAAGCTTGCCTCCTCGATCAACCCCGAATCTTGTTTTATTGCTGAGCAAGAGGTTAACGGAACTGTTCGTGAGGTGTTTCTTTTGGAAGTTTCTGACTTGTCGGATGAACTTGTCTGTCATGACTATCCTGAAGGTCGTGAGGCACAGCTGACTAGGAAACATAAGAGGTTACTGTTGAATTCACTCCAAGATTTTTCCGCCGAATTCGATTCTTTTGCTGATGAGAGTGTAGATGTGGTGACAAGAACAGATCAAGAGCCTGGGAGCCGACAAGAAAGGAAAGAAGAGCATGAAGGCCAACAAGAAAAGAAAGAAGATGGCTCGAGTCACGCAAAAATAGATGCGAGATCTGAGGGCCAAGAGCGTCATCGGTTCTGTGGAACTTCGGTGTCTGCAGAAATTTCCAAAGACTCTCGCTCGTCCGTCCGAACCGATCGCGTTCGACTACCTAGCTCGACAGAGCTTAGCGCCCAGGGTTTGAGCAACGTGCGAGCTTGTAGCCATGGATTTCTTTCCCAGAGCTTCAAGATCATGGAGGTTTTCTCTCCTCCTCGCGTGACCGAGATGGCGAAACAGCGAGGATTTCTCACCACAGAGCCACCCAACTTTGACCTCACCAACGGCTGGAACACTTTGCATTTTGAGGACCGACGGCAGCTTTGGAAGACACTGGAAGAGCAATCGCCCGATCTAGTCCTTCTGAGCCCAGACTGCCGACTTTTCAGCGTGTTGATGAATGTGAACCTCAAGAGAATTGCTGTCGAGAAGCTGACCAGAGAACAGATGGAGGCGCTGACTATGTGGCACCTCTGCATTCAGGTCGCTAGCTTTCAGCTCAGTCGAGGCAAGTTCTTCCTCATTGAACAGCCGGCCGGCGCCTCGTCATGGGCTACTCACACGGTTGCATGGCTGCTGAGACAAAAAGGAGTGCTTCGTTTTCTTTTTGACCAGTGTGAACTCGGACTGCAAGTGAGCGATCAGGGTCTCTCACGGAAGGCCACTGGAATCGTCACCAATCACACCGGAATTGCCTTCCTGCTTTCACAGTATCAGTGCACCAAGACACATCATCACGTACATCTTGAGAGTGGCCTGCCGAAGAAAGCGCAGACATACCCTAAAAACATGATACAGGTCATTCTCGACGGGCTGCGAATTGGTGCAAGTGACTTCATCGGAGTGCAGGTAGGGAGTCAGGAGCTTGTTGGCGAAGATTCAGACTCAGAAGTCCCAGTGCCACAGCCGAGAACTCCAGGCACCCTGAACAAGGACATGTCTCCTCTTCTGACCCCCGAGCAGAAGAAAAAGATACAGCTGATGCATCTGAACATGGGACATCTTCCCAAAGAACAGATGCTCTCCATGCTCAAGGCAGCCGGTGCCAAGGAGGGCGTCATGAAGTATGTGAAGGACTCCTTCAATTGTGAACACTGCATGAGACAAAGGAGGCCCATTGAGAGAAGACACGCAGCATTGCCACGGACATTCATGTTCAATAGAATAGTCGGTGTGGACTTCTTGTATCTCTCATTTGAGAACCGAACTCAAGCCTTCTTGAACGTGATCTGTCAGGGAACAAATTATCAACAAGTTGCCCATCTCAAGAACTACGAGGGAGGAGTTCCATCCTCTCAAGAGACTTGGCTTCTCTTTTGCAAGATGTGGATTCATCCCTTTGGAATTCCCGAGACTGTCGTCACCGACGGAGGATCAGAGTTCAAGCAGCAGTTCGAGAGGTCACTCGAACAATTTGGAGCCCTTCAGATCATCACCGATGCCGCCTCTCCATGGCAGAACTCGAAGGCCGAGAGACACGGAGGTTGGGTGAAAGAGAGAGCAGAGATGGAAGTGAATTCGGGTCAGACCATCCTCAGCAGCGTGGGTGAGCTTGAAGAACTCGTCATTTGTATGGTAGCCTGCAAGAACAGGTGGTTTTCTCGCGGGGGCTATAGTCCCTCCCAGCTTGTTTTTGGAATCAACCCCAGGGTGCCGACTGAGTTGCTCGACGATGACCCAATGCACGACCTGGGATGGAGAGAGATTGACACAGATCCCTATGACCAAGATACGGCAGCCTCAGCCTTCACCAAGGCTCACCATATTCGCCACAGGGCTCGGCAACTGTGCATTGAAGCAACCAGCCGGGACAAGATCAAGAGAAGTTCAAGTCAAAGAGCACACAAGCAAAGAGAGTGGGCTGTTGGTCAGTGGGTCTATGTGTGGCGTCGATTTCCTGGCACTGGCCAGGGACACCTGACCAGAGCCAGATGGACAGGTCCGGGCATTGTCGTACTTCAAGTCGGGCATACCGTCTGGGTATCCATGAGGGCAAGACTTTGGAAATGCAACTCAGACCAGCTCAGGCCGGCTTCTCATCATGAGTCGATCGGAGCAGATCTATCGCGCTCAGGAGAACTACAGGACTTGATCAGACAGGGCAGGTCTGCTAAAGCGGGTGCCGTAGACGTCACAGCAGAAGGAACCCCAGATGAAGAAGACACAACTTCCGATCCATCGCACGACCAGGTCGAGCCAATGGTCTCACCAGCAGCTGACGTGCCAGCGGCGATTCAACTGGAACCAACACCGTCCTCAGAAACACCCCCTGTGGAGACAACATCTCTCCTCAGGAACATCAGAGAGCCTCAAGCCGCAGTTCCCATCGAGGATGACAGATCAGCCCTGGAAGACACCTCAAGCATGTCAACCATCAAGGAAGGCAGGAAGAGACCGACTTCAGCAGACGAGACAACAGCAAGCAAGAAGAAGCAGACCGCTCCAGTAGGTCGAACTACATCGGCGTCAACCAGATCCAAGAGACAGATCTCTGAGACAGAACATCTTGAAAGAGTTGCCCTGAGGACCATGAAACGCATGGACAGAGAGGAGAAGATGAGAAGACTAAAAGAGACCTCCAGCGACTCAGCTGTCAACCCTCAGACAGCAGCAGCTTCGAGCGATTCTGTCAATGAGAGTGCGGTCCCCAACCAGCTGAAGGAGTTTCAGAACCAGTTCAAGGAAGAAGCTCCTCAGGACAAGAAAGACTTAGAGGAAGATGATGACCTCTTCGTCAACAGCAGTCAAGAGCCTCAACAGTTGCTGTCGTTCTTCGAGCTCAAAGCAGAGAATAAGGTGCTCATGGCTCGTCCCGCGAAGCCCAAGTCCCAAGAGTTCAACATGCACGAGGCTACACCAGCAGAGATGCGAGGCTTCAGGGAGGCCGATGCTGCAGAATGGAGAACGATTCTCGATCTGAACGCAGTCAAGATCCTTAGTCAGGAGGACTCAAGACGTGTGAGAAAGGAAACACCTCATCGAATTCTCCCATCAAGGTTCGTGCGCAGAAAGAAGCCTATGCCAGGAGTAGGACAGTGGAAGTTCAAGAGTCGCTGGTGTGTTCTGGGTCATTGTGATCCGGATAACGGCACCTACTCAACGTACTCTCCAATGCCCACTACTGAGAGCATTGCTGTTTTCTTTCAAATTTGTGCCAACCTGAAACTTTCCATCAGCTTCTGCGACGTCAAGCAAGCATTTTGCCAATCGGAACCACTCTGTCGACCACAAGGAGAGTTGTATGTTGAAGCCTGCCCAGGTCTCGACTTGCCAAAAGACACGGTGATACAATTGATAGCACCAGTGTATGGCTTAGAAGACGCCCCTATTCGTTGGCATCAGACAGTGATCAGCTACCTGGGAGAACTAGGGTTTCAAAGATCCCTGCTAGAACCATGCTGGTACTACAAGCGAGACAATAGAGGCGACATAGAAGCCATGATACTTGTGGAAGTCGACGACCTGAACGTCGCCGCTCGCTCAGACGTCAAAGAGTGGATCTTGAAAGAGCTTAGTGAACGTTTTTTGTTTGGCAAGATGGAGCATGATGAGGCTGATTTCGCTGGAAGACATGTCAAGGTCCTTCCTGACAGGATAGAGATGCACCAAGAGAAATACATTTTGGAGAAGATCCAGCCCGTGAAAATGACACCCGGCAGGAAAGCCGAGAAAGCCGATCAGCTGACCTCAGAGGAGTTTGAATTATTTCGATCCATGCTGTACAGAATAGCTTGGGTAACTCATCAAACACGACCAGAGGCAGCCGGAGTGGTTAGCATTCTTGCCTCCCGACTCAAGGAAGCCACCATTCATGACGTTTGCTGTTTGAACCGACTTGCAGCCCACTTGAGAAACACAGCGCAGCAGGTTCTCACCATTCACTCATTCAAGACCGAAGACATGGTTTTGATAGCAGCATCCGATGCCGGCGGTGTAGATAGTTTGCCACCATCGCCAGACAGTGCCATTGACAATGTACAAGGAGCATGGGTGATCATGGCAGCCGGACGCATGCCAAGCGCATCACAGAACACCAAGGTGAGCATTCTGAGCTGGCGGTCATCGAAACTTCGACGAAGAGTGGCATCGACCTTAGCAAGTGAAGCTCTAGCCTTTAGTCAGGCTCTCGCAGAAGTCGAGTGGGTGCAGATCATGATCAGAGATGTCATGTATGGCGATGTTCTTAGACGGGATTGGATGCAGTCACTGAACCCCTATGTTCCTGTTCTTAGGGAGAATTGTGAGTTGCATCAGAGGTTACAACAGTGTCATGTGACTGATGCGAAGAGCTTGTTTGATTCCCTTCAGAAGAAGAGTCCATCATCCCGTCAAGACAGGCGCACCTCCATAGAACTTAGCATCATCATTGAATCAATGGCTAAGTCTCGTAGCGCATTGCGCTGGGCACCTCACCCCAGAATGATAGCTGATTCTCTGACGAAGGACGATATTTCCAAGACCAACGGAGCGCTAGAGGATTTGCTCAGGACATCAAAGCTGTCGCTCTGGGACGAAGAACACGAACTGAGGATTCGTAAGGAATCTCCGACGGCCAAGAATAGGTCTCGGAAAGCCTCAGCCAGATATAGGGCCAAAGAGGAAATGAACAACGTGATGTTCACCGTTAGTCAGATCAACTTAAATTTGGGGGTGCTGTTTCATGTTTCCTCCATTTGATCTGACGTTGCGCCGATCCTCTCGAGCCGCAGTGATCGTCCCCTTTTGCATCGTGCACGCATGGCGGAAAAGACGGGCATCTTCGTTTCTTCTTAGGCACCTTCGTTTTCGACACATTATAGAAATCGATCCTACAAAGCCGCATGTCGCTTTCTTCCAGCGGTACGTTTTGCCCCATTTGGCTTGGTCACAGAGTTCCATCCCTGGAAGTCCAAGATCAAGATCTTGTTAAAAGTTCTTAATTTGGTTTTGTAGTGTAAAATCCATAATAAAACACTACTTGTTCGAAAAGGCCATTTTCAGGAACGCACGGACTTCCCGTCGAACGCTCGTGACGGTGAATTCTCGGAATCACCCCCCCAACACATTCCATGGGACTGGAACATATACCTTGCCCCTTGAAACCACCCCAATGTACAGTATGGCAAATCATGTGGCATACATGGAGCGTTTGGGACCATCAGGATGCCTTGGACCACTATGTGAATTGCTGCGGAGGACAAAAGGCGGTGGTTTTTGCAGGATGTCACGTGACGCGTTTGCCGACGCGTTTGGACAGGTGAGAGGTCTTTGTTGGTCCCATTTGGAGTCTCAAGGTATGTAAGTGGGTTGTGACCATTTGTGACATTGGCTTCAGTCCATACCCAGTGGTTCCCCTCGTCTGCATATAACTGACACCTCTGGGATACTGTATGTTTGACCCTCAGAGATCTATTACTCACATAGCAGACAGCCAACCACGACCTGTTCGACAGTTTTTAGATCATTTACGTTGCTGATTTCACTGGCGAGGCGCGGGCGGTGAGAATTTGCGACAAGAACAGCACAGATTCGGCGGGGTCCAGTCGTTTGGAAGATGAAGATGCGTGGCCTTCCAGGATCAGTGTCTCGATATATACTTTATTGAACTGTGTAATCCCAGCAGGTAGATAAAGCAATAATAAACGTAGCGTGAACAAGCCTATTCTTGGGGCAGGACGTTGGATTTGGATTGCATGCGGCACTCGCGAAACCTTTGTTCATGTAACAGGCTTTAACATGTTTACAAGTTCAACCTAGGTCCTACATTTATAATGCACGACTATTTTTAACTCATATTCAGATTTAAGGTTCCTTGTTTCCCTACGTTTCCGCGTGGCTTTTTCCTTCAATGTCCTGTTGTATTTGTCCTTCAATGTAGCAATCATTGGTCTTGGCGATTGTTTCCTGAAGAACAAATGGCTTCACAACACTACTTGGAGTAAGCGTGGCCATGGTGATTGCCGGAGGATGTGGTACATAGCGCGGCCATGATGTTTTACACTTTTCCCGAGTGACTTTCCACGAGTTGGGTGACTTTCCACTATAACAGTAGTGTGCCTGTGCGACTGTGTGACTTTTTGTTGCGACCCTGGGTGACTCAACTCCAGAGTGGGAGTGGCAATATACTGTGTACCCGCACATACCTGAGACTTTTGTCGATTGTTGTTGAACTTATGGCTGTTGCATAGCGAGAATACGCAACATGAGTCTGTAGTGGCGAAGCTTGATTGATTGTATACCCCGGCCTTTAAGTGCAAATTTAGATCTAATTGGTCGAATCCTTGTGGACCAGGTTTGCCCGCTCCGCCACCTGTTCGCTGTTGATCAGCTCAAAGGATGTTCGAGCCAGGACCTTGGCTTCGTTTTTCTGAGACTGACCAGAGCTGGGCTGATGCAGCAAGCGCGTTTGGCAGAAAGCAACGGATACACCCACGGAAGCAGTGCAGCCAGCAAGGCCAAGGATGAGCTGCTGGAATGTCGTTTGGGCACTGCTGCCGTTCGCAGAATTCTTTCTCCGACCCCGGAGATAGCTGAGTAAGTCTTCAAACAACTCCACCGCTCGTTCCTCTTGAGGTTGTGGGATCTAAGCTGATCGACAAATGCCTGCGAATGCGCCTTTGATTCGCGTAGGGCTGCTGTTTGAGCTTGGTGAGCCAGCCCTTGTAGACGCCCAAACAAAATGGTCATCAGAAGGGAGGACCTGGCGCAAGCATCCGCCATGGCCGGTGAAAGCGGGATACAGCTGCTCACAGGGTGCACACCATGACTCATGGCCCGTGACATGTGTTCCCTGTCCAGTTTGCACTGGCATCGATGCCAAAATGTAGGCCTGTTAAGGGAGAAAATCCAACCTCCACCATCCTTTTTGGGGCCCTTTTCCGGCGTAATGTTTTCGCAACAACTCACAGTATTGCTGTACAATGAGCCAATAAATGGTATGCAATATAATGAGGGTGGCGACCTGACCTGTTGTCATTGTTGTCCATTCCCTTTGCGCAGGCTACGTATTCAGAACGCACAGCTTCAGCAACAATTTGTTTGTTTACTGTTGTTGGGGGTGCCGGAAACTATATAGTTTGTGTTGAAACTCCACACAGTTTGATTCAAAACATACGGACAGTTTGCAGCGAATTCGCAAATCGAAGAACAATGATCATTCCAAGGTGTTCGCTTGTGTTGCCTGCAATGCCCGTCCGCAGCAGACATCCATGCAGGCAGTGCGGCGGATTCTGATCGCCTCTAATGGCATGGCGGCCGCCAAGTCCATCATGTCCATGCGACAGTGGCGTGGAATTGCATTCGACGTGCGTTGTTTGAAAGGTCTACCAGGATGTGTATCATGTAGTCTAGTTATACACCTATTACTAATTACCACTATAACATGGTAGTCCATTGAATTATGATATCATAAGGATTGCAAACATTTGGCATCCAGTGGTGGGGACGCAACGCATTTCATTACATTTCAAATTTGCAGGGTTTTTGTTCATCGGGTCGCCGTCCACTAGTTACGCCGCAATTGGTTGGGTGTTCCAGGTGCTTGTGTAGCCTTATATTTTGTGCAATGTTACACACTCACACACCATTATCATATCCATTAATCATCCATGTATCGCTATGGCTAGTCTCAGATGACTTGGCCACCAAGCCACCAATGGCAAGTCTCGGAGATCATATTGGCACCAGTTTCCAAGGTTGCTGGCTGTTGGATGGCACATGCCGCTGGACGCCCCTGAATTTCGATCTTACAATTTCCATTTCCCAGATGTTATCGTTCGATAATATGGTTGGCAGGTGTTTGGTCGCACAATTGCTATCAGTTGGCAGGTGATGTTTGTTTGTTGGACTATTTTTTCTATGTTTCGCTATGCTTTGGAAAGACAGACGCGTGTGAACAAAAACATGCATACGCATGCTGTGCATGGAAGAAAAATGCGATACTCTAAATCATGGAAGAAAGGCAACTGCCACTTAATTACTATAATTGCTTCTTGCCCTGAGCTTGACCGAGCTTGACACCTTGTTTTTCAACGCACCCACCGACCATTGAACAATGGTGCGAACAAAAGTACCTGGACACTGTACAACTCCAGCGAATTCTGGCTGCAACAAAAGCAGAAGTGTCCAAGGAACTGGTGATGTAGAACTGGGGTCAGCCTGGTGCTCTCGAGACGCTGTTTCCTGTCTCCCTCACCGGTCTGGGAGGTTTTGTTCTGCGCGATGGTGCCGTCGACGCCCTAAGGGTTGGGTGCCGAGGTGCCTTTGAACACCGGTGGAGGTGGTTTGCCGTACCCATTTGAGTAAGCACCATTTGAGCTATACGTAGCAGTAAGCCCAAACTCCTGGCACCAGCCCCCGTGGCATACGTGGCCGGCTGCGGCAGAGTCCGGAATGACATGGGGTGAAGCATTGGACTGATCCACATGATCCGCACGATCCAAGGTGGGCGCACATGGAGGCGCGCTCGCTGAGGAGTCACTGTGGAAGAACGGTGCGGTTTCTTTTTAGGAGAGAGGCGTCCTGAAAATGGCTTGGTACCTTGGAGCTGCATCGCAGGTTTTGGGTGGTGAAATGTATACTATGGTAAAGTGGGGTGTTCTGGTAGGACACCTCCAGTTTCACAACATGTTTTTTGCATGACATGTTGCTCAGTTGTTTGCGTTGGAGGAGTTATGTGCCTTGGTGACACCTCCAGTTTATTTGCTTTCGATATTTTGCTACCTTACCTATACTTGTCTCATCTTGTCTCATTCAGGCGTGAAGTGATGTCCAGAGTTGAAGAGAACGTCCAACGGTCGCAGGTCGTCTGACGGTGATTCGGACGTCGACGGAGCGACTCCGATTCCCTGCTGCGAAGCCGAAATGTTGCCGTGGAAATGTTGCCGTGGACCGATGGTCTGGCTAGGTCTTGGATCGATGTTCTGGCCGTAGACGGATTGAAGAAACTACGCTGCGGGTTTCCCCAACCCCGCGCCAGGCTGGGTTGGGTTCCAGTGGCATCCTGGAATTCATCTCCATGGCAACCAAAGATGATTTGGCATCTGAGTTGCAGTGGCCTTTGGTATCCTTTTGCCAAGCTGTTTTGGTTCTTTCTGCCAGGAGTAGAGGAATGTTTCTTGAAAATCTGACTCGAGTTACGCCCCAGAAGGCCCAACTGGTGTAGGTTTATCACGAAAGCTAGCGAAGCTAGCTGGAGTTACTCTTGCGATAGCAAGGTTTCTTTCGACCGGGTGCAAATCCTAACCCCTGATTTTTCAGGTCGAAGACCCCCCCCCCCCCCCCCCCCCCCCCCCCCCCCCCCCCCCCCCCCCC